CAAGTAAGTTGTTCAGACTTATAATAATCCCTCATTAAATCATGAATTCCCATATAGAAAACACATCCACTTTATCTGGGGGGAGGGCAGGAAGGAATGCAATTCATCTCTTACATTTTTAATTAACTAGATTTTCAGATAAAATATTAGACCTTTGAATGTCAAATGTCCAAGAAACTGCAAAGAAATAAAACCTGAGTTAGATTTGTGTGTTTTCAGAGCCATTTGTTGCAACAGCTAGATGTTCATAATCCTTACAAGAAGTGGAATTGTTTTTTCAAATTGAGCATATTTAAATATTTTTAAAAGAGTTTCAAACAAGTATTTTTCTGCAACTGTACAAAATTAGTGGCATGACATAACCTAAATGTTCTATTACTGCTCAATAAATACTAACTAGACAATACATAATCCCAAATAATCAACTGGCATTATATAATTTTCCAATGTAATAATCCCAAAGAATCAATTGTGATTATAGTAATTTTTCTAACCAAAACAACAAAAGTTGGTCATTATGAATCTCTTGAAAAAGGTAATCAGTACCTCTATTATGTTTTTTTACTTTGTCAACAAACTTTTTAATTAAAAAAACTTTTTGATTTAAAAATTGTTGGTGGCAATAGTTGTACAACAATGTGAATGCACTTATTGCCACTGAAATGCATATTTTAAATGGTAAATCTTATGTATATTTAACCACAATTTTAAAAAGAGAAAAGGGGAGAAAATAAAAGAGAAAAAAAGAGTAGGAAAAACAGAGACCCCTAAAACAAATAAACCAGTCTGAGCACCTGCTGGCAGACAACACCTGGACATTCAAGAAAAGCAGGCTGAGGAAGGCACAGTTCACTGGGCACGCAGACAGATCGCCAGCAAAGCAGGCTCTATAAACAGCATAGGCGGTAGGTTACCCTGGAAGAGTAATATGACCCATCATATATCCAGAGAGCTTTGTCTCTAAAGTAAGATGCAGGGCTCTAAAAGGATGTCCTTCATACTTCCTAAGACCTGGGTTGCATCAAAATGTCATTCATTGTATCTTCATACCACTTACACCACGATCCTCTTAAAATGAAGTTAAGCTAATTAATGGCAGTATGTTGTTTTTTGGTTAACAGGAAACTAGTGTACCAGTACTCTAAAGAAAAAAAAAGAAAGCGAGGAAACCTCAGGGCAAAGAACCATGAAAAATCCACAATGTACCTCCTTGCTTTGCAGTTCTTTTAAGAATATTGTTTAGTGTCTAAAACAAGTAAAATGGCATTTTTTCAGGAAACACCTTTGACCATACTTCCAAAGTAATAAAGCCTGTTTAGTCCAGCTTCTCAATTTATAGCCATAAGTGTACATTACAAGGCAATAGTTCTTTAATGTACGAACTTGGGACACAGATTTTTCAAAAAGTGAATAAAGCCAAAGAAGATTTTGTGAAAATAGTTCTCATAAATATAACAAGCACCACTGAATATAATTTTATTCTAAATTGATCCAGTTTATGTTCCAAATCCTATTTTTATAGCCTTCCTATGGTAAATGCTCAACAAGGATTTGCTGAATAGATGAATGAGAAGGACCAAGTCTTAATTTGAATTTGTTCTGGTAACAGAGAGATAATCACATAAATGAAAAACTCCTTATTCTGGCTATGATTAAAAGGTGAGAAAATAACAGATGTTGGTGAGGTTGCAGAGGAAAGGGAAGTACTTATACACTGCTGGTGGGACTGTAAATTAGTTCAGGCACTGTGGAAAGTAGTTTGGAGACTTCTCAAAGAACTTAAAATAGAATTACCATTCAACCCAGCGATCCCCTTACTGAGTATACACCCAAAGGAATGTTAATCATTCTACCAAAAAGACACATGAATGTGTATGTTCATCACAACACTATTCACAATAGCAAAGACATAGAATCAATGTAGATGCCCATCAACGGTGGACTGTATTAAAAAGTGTGGTACACATACACCACGGACTACTACACAGGCATAAAAACGAAGAAAGTCATATCCTTTGCAGCAACATGGACACAGCTGGAGGCCATAATCCTAAGTGAAGTAAAAACAGCAACAACAACAAAAAACCAAATACTACATGTTCCCGCTTACAAGTGGGAGCTAAACATTGAATACACATGGAGATAAAAAGAGGCCCAACAGACACTGGGGCCTACTTGAGGGGAGATAGTAGGAGGAGGGTGAGGTTTGAAAAACTACCTATCAGGTACTATGCTCACTACCTGTGACCTGGGTGACAAAATCATTTTCACACCAAACCCCAGCAACACACAATTTACCCACGTAACAAATCTGCACATGTGCTCCTTGAACCTAAAATAAAGGTTGGAGAGGCCAGGTGGGGTGGTTCACGTCTGTAATCCCAGAACTTTGGAGGCCAAGGCGGGCAGATCGCGCGGTCCAGGAGTTCGAGACCAGCCTGACCAACATGGTGAAACACCCCTGTCTCTACTAAAAATACAAAAAATTAGCTGGGAGTGGTGGTATGCACCTGTAATCCTGGCTACTCAGGAGGCTGAGGCAGGAGAATTGCTTGAACCTGGGAGGCAGAGGTTGCAGTGAGCCAATATCGCACCACTGCACTCCAGCCTGGGCAACAGCACAAGACTCTGTCTTAAAAAAAAAAAAAAAAAAAAAAAAAAGTTGGAGGAGGAAAAAAAAAAAAAAACCAAAAAAACTCCTTATTCTTTCTAGATCTATCTAGACTGCTACATCAATAAAATAGAATCTAGCACCCTTGCAATTCAATGTAACAGACATAGTAAGATTCCTCCTAGAAAGAAAAAAGGAGGAAGGAGGATGGAGAGGGGAAGAAAAGGAGAGGAAGGAATACCTTATTATGCCAGAAGGAACTTCTCTAATGATGACAAGGGTTAGATCAGACCTCAGGAAAGCTAAAGGGCGCCAATCTCACTTAACACTCAAGGGTCTACCAAAAACTGAAGTGAAATATTCTATTTCTATAAAACTGGTCTTCTACTTGACCTTTATCAGGGAAGATGGGGTAAGCTCACTGTAAAATACGATTTTTTCATTTTTTGTGTGTGTGTGTGTGTGTGTGTGGTTTTTTTTTTTTTTTTTTGAGATGGAGTCTTGCTCTGTTGCCAGGCTGGAGTGCAGTGGCACAATCTCAGCTCACTGCCACCTCTGACTCCCTGGTTCAAGTGATTCTCCTGCCTCAGCCTCCAGAGCAGTTGGGATTACAGTCACGTGCCACCACACCCAGCTAATTTTTGTATTTTTTAAGTAGAGACAGGGTATCACAATGTTGGCCAGGATGGTCTTGATCTCCTGACCTTGTGATCCACCTACCTCGGCCTCCCAAAGTGCTGGGATTACAGATGTGAGCCACATCGCCTGGCTGTAAAATATGATTTTTCTCATTCCCTTCTGTAGTGTCTCACTCAGCATACTTGTTGAGGCAGCCCAGAGCTATAAGACAGAAAAACCCTATACAGGGAGCAATTCCTAAAAGACTATGTTATGGACTGAACTGTATCCCCCACCAAAGTTGTATGTTGAATTCCTAACCTCCAGCATCTCAGAATGTGACCCTATTTGGACAGGTTGACTACAGATATATTAAGATGAGGTCATACTGTAGTAGGTAGATCCCTACTTCAATGTGACTGTAAAATGTGGACACAGACAGGGACCTAGGGAAAACACCATGTGAAGGCTGGAGTTTGCTGCCACAAGCTAAGGAACTACCGGAAGCTAGAAGACAGGCCTGAAACAGACCCTTCCCTGGCACCTTCAGAGGGACCATGGCCCTGCCAACACCCTGATTTTGGATTTCTGGCTTTCGGAACTATGAGACAATGCATTCATGTTGTTCTGTGTCATATGGTTTGTGGTACTTTGTTACCATAGCCCTAGGGAACTAATGCAGACTATAAGAGGCCAGTGTGCACTAGCCTACCCTCCTCAGATTGTACTTCAGATCCAGTCTTCTGCCTCATGGCCACAGCTACTACATTACCCCCAGCCTCAGCACCTCACTCTTGCTGCAAAAGCTCTGGTCTCCCTTACTTCAGACTCTATCTTCACTTTCTTCAATTGTCAAACCTCACTGCACACCACCTTCTTTGCATCGACCCCTTATTTAAAAAACTCCAGTGACTCACCGATTTTTACAGGAAAAAGCTAAAATTCTCCTGACTGGCATTCGGGCCTCTCTCTAAGCTAGCTCCAAATGCTAGGTGATACTCTCTTAGTGACCCTAGAACACGTAACTTTTTTTGTTGCCCAGGCTGGTATGCAGTGGCATAACCACAGCTCACTGCAGCCTTGACTTCTTGGGCTCAAGCAATTCCCCCTCCTCAGCTTCCCAGGTAGCAGGGACCACAGGCACATACCACCATGACCAGCTAATTTTTATAGAGATAGACTCTCACCATGTTGCCCAGGCTGGTCAGAACATACAACTGTTATTCTCTATGTCATGCTTCCTTCTCCACTTGCCACTCTCCCCTTTCATCAGTCCAAATCTTGACCTTCCTGTGAAAACTACTGTCAGGACACACTTTCTCCTTGAAGCTCTCTCTCTATACTTGAGCCTAACACAACAGCCATATTTCTGATTCTATGCACTTTATTGCCTGCATCAGTCATCTGTACTCTTCACAGATTGCTTTGCATAGTTACCTGGCATTTGAAAAGTATATGCTTCAATTTCATAGCTGGACTAGGAGCTCCTTAATAATAGGGTCTATGTCTTATAATTTTGGAGGTACTTCTCAAAGCCAAAGACAATGCTTGGTGTATTACAGGCAACCTCTAAATTCTTACTGAATTAACTATTAAACATATATGAAAAATTCCTAGAAATGCTACCTTTGGCACTTCCTTCAATCAGGGAATTGAAATTGGAATAAATCTACAGATTTCATATAGTACTAATGGTCCCACATGTATCTGAATAATTTAAAACTTACAAGGAATAAGAGGAAAAAAATGACTTGAGTCCCAAGTTACTTACCATTCTTCATCACTACATTGGACCACACATTGGCATTCAGGGCTTGGACAATTCGCTTTACTCCTGTAGATTCCGGGAAGTCATCTAATCAGGGAGGGAAATATACATATTTATACATAACACTCATACAGATATACATACACATTCACAAAAATATGACCGGGCACGGTGGCTCACGCCTGTAATCCCAGCACTTTGGGAGGCCGAGGCAGGCAGATCACCTGAGGTTGGGAGTTCGAGACCAGCCTGACCAACATGGAGAAACCCCGCCTCTACTAAAAAATACAAAATTAGCCGGGTGTGGTAGCGCATGCCCGTAATTCCAGCTACTCAGGAGGCTGAGGCAGGAGAATCACTTGAACCCAGGAGGTGGAGGTTGTGGTGAGCCAAGATGGCACCATTCCAGCCTGGGTAACAACAGCAAAACTCCATCTCAAAAAAGAAAAGAAAATGTTATGTATATATCCCCCAAGCCATATTTTCAAATGACTGTGGTTTTGTTATCCTGTTTATTTAGTTGTTAGTTCACATTGTACAAGGAAAAAAACAAATACAGAGCTTGGAGCTCCTGATAAGAATACTCTAGAGAAACTCATTTCCTCCTCAGCTGTCTGAGGATTGACCACCATCATGAACGACATGGTAACTATCCAAACTGGAAAGTTCATGACCAACCAACTACTTCAGAGAAAACAAATGGTCATTGATGTCCTTCACCCCAGGAAGGCAACACCACCTAAGACAGAAATTTGGGAAAAAGTAGCCAAAATGTACAAGACCACACCAGATGTCATCTTTGAATTCAGAACTCATTTTGGTGGTGGCAAGACTACTGGCTTTGGCATAATTTATGATTCCTTGGATTATGCAAACGAAAAGGAACACAAACATAGACTTACAAGACATGGCCTGTGTGAGAAGAAAAAGACCTCAAGAAAGCAATGAAAGGAATGCAAGAACAGCATGAAGAAAGTTAGGCAGACTACAAAGGCCAGTGTTGGTGCTGGCAAAAAGCCGAAGGAGCAAAGGTGCTGGAAGGATGTTATCTGTGGCCGCTGTGGTTTTTTCATGATTAATAAACTAAAAACTTTCAAGTGGAAAAAAAAGAATATTCCAGAAACTAAAGCAATTAAATAAACACACAATATAAGGCAGTTATATAAAAAAGTTATCCTCACCAATGGAATCTATTTATATTCTGAAAATGTAAGATTCCACTTATTACACACATTCCTGGCACAGTACGAGAGATACCAATCTAGACAGAATGAGTTTCCTTAAGGCAGGAACAGTCCTCTTATTAATAGTATGCTATAAAATCATGTAAATGCTCTATCCTCCGCTGGAAACGAAAGAATAATAAGTGTTATTTATGATTGATATCTATAGAAGAACTTCTTGATCAGAGAAAGACAGTTTGAGTGAGAAGTGAAATGACTACAAGTCTAAGAGACAGGCAAAGGGTCATTACAATAACTTAGTTTATTATGAGTACTATCCTGCTTCTGGAATTTGACTGATACTACTCAGAATAATGGGGCTGTAATCCCATAGTGTACCAAAAAGGTGGTATTCTTAGCTACAACATAGGAATGATTGTGTACAAAGGAAATGGAGATCCTACAGATGTTGAGGACTGTAAGGCTGCATCTGGAAAACAATGACAGAAATAGTTTTCATGTGGTTAAAAAAGGAAAGTTTCCTGAGTTTACAGAACATAATCCACACAGAACCTGTCTCTAGCGGCCAGCCTAGCCCTGGGTGGTTTAACAGGAAGAGCACAGAGTTACATGTCAGAATATCTGAATTTGAAGCCAGGCTGTGACACTTATTAGCTATTTGATCAAGGGCGAATCACTTGCACCATTCTTACAGAAAGTGGAAACAATACCACTCTATGCACATCTCTCCTAGAGGAAAGATGCACTGGAACTGACGATTTACTAATGTAACCTTCCCCCACACTGGAAACTCCTTGAGGGCAGGAATCTTGTCTTACTGAGTTCATATGCCCACTGCCTAGCACAGTGCCTGAAAAACAGCAGGCACTCACCAACTGTTTAATGGATTGATGAATCATTTAAAGAATACCAGCCTACCAACCTAACAGAAATATAGTGATTAAATTGAAAATATAGTGATTAAATTGAAAATACTCAGCCAGGCGGGGTGGCTCATGCCTGTAACCCCAGCACTTTGGGAGGCCAAGGCAGGCGGATCACGAGGTCAGGAGATAGAGACCATCCTCTGGCTAACATGGTGAAACACCGTCTCTACTAAAAATACCAAAAAAAAAAAAAAATTACCCAGGCATGGTGGTGGGCGCAGTCCCAGTTACTTGGGAGGCTGAGGCAGGAGAATAGTGTGAACCTGGGAAGCAGAGCTTGCAGTGAGCTGAGATCGCGCCACTGCACTCTGGGCGACAAAGAGAGACTCTGTGTCAAATAAATAAAGAAAGAAATAAAAATAAATAAAGAAAATACTCTACCAAGATAAGTTTATCACCACCAATGTTTGGATGAAAATCTAAAAGTCACATTTATCTTAACTGTGAATGACTTAATTCTCAAAAGAATAACTAATATTTTAGATGACATAACCAGGAACCAAAAATGTGGTCTGAAATGAAGAGCTAGTACCCATAAGAGGAAAATTAATACAAACTAGCATAAAGTCCTATATTCATGTTCGAATAATACATGCAAGTAAAAGATGAGGAAATATGGCTTAGGAATAGTTTGTATTTTAAAAGTCTAGGAAGGTTTTCATTATGTTACCTAAAGATGACATATCAAAAAACCCATTTTAAGATTAATCTGAATGAATACAAGAACATTATTCAGACAAAGGGCTATGAGAAATACAGTGTATAAAGGAGCAGAGATTCCAAAATGATAACAGTCAGATACTGACTCTCAAGGACAAGAGAAAGAGAAAATTCTATTGCCAGAAATCACACAGGCTCACATACACAAAACAGGGCACAAGTTTCAGGGACCTAGAAAAACACAGAAAAAGATGTATTTGCCAATTTTCAATACTCTTTAAAATGAGCAAGGAGAAAAACCAGACTTTTTACTTCGGCTTTGTTCTCTTCTTCCCTGGCAAGTTTTATTCTCAAAGGTAACAGTATTTTGGAAAAATTATAAATAAAACCAGAATATAGAAAAATATTTCTTAATTCCTTAATAAAAATACAAGTTTCATGAAATTACTGCTTATGTCTTATCTATGTACTTTAATTCACGTTGGTTTTCCCTGCCCAGGATGTCTTTTGGAACAACTGGCATATTCACAATGCCACCTCTCCACCAGTCCTCTCACTACAAGCCCAGGACCTTTTCTAACTTCTTCCCCATGGAGCAGCTGACACGTGAGAGTTCACAATGCCAACATGTTCTCTGCACTTTTAAACAAAAATAAGCTCTCCTGTCTCTAAAATACCACAGCACCACTATTTCTTCTATAATACTTATGACATTCCACTTGATAATTCAATTATCTGTAAGTTTCATCTCTTGTACCAGATTATAAGGTTTTGGTGAACCAAAAACCCTCTTATCCTGGTAGATACCACAACAGGTGTACTTCAAAGGAGAAAAGATGAGAAAAGAAATGGGGAAGGGGAGTAGAAAAGGGGAAGAAATAGAAGGTCCAGCAATAGCGGAGGACAGCGATTGCAGAGCTACCTGGGGTGGAGGTGGGGGATTAAATTAGGGGTCTGTTTTTTGGCTTCAAATGTCCAAAAGACATTCAAATAGATCTGAAATGTCCCCTGCGATTCCTGGGAATTCAGTCTTAGGTTACTATGAATTCAAAATAAGAAACATCAACTTTAACTACTATGAAGGTCTAACTCTCCTTCTTCAGCAGTGGGGAAAGGAAAAAGAATTGGGAAAATGACAAAGATTTTAGAAAGCAGCCTTATACCTTTATCCATAAGAAAAACACACATTTTCAAAAGTTCTAAAACAGGTGGTAAAACCAAATAAATGAATTCTCACACTAAATATAAGACTACATCAATGGATTTTGCTTAAATCCTTGAAACAGCTGGGGAAAAAAGTTTCTTGAATTTTGCTGTGATTCTTCTTCCCTGAATTAAAATAATCTCTCATATCTGAATCTAAGTGCCATATTTTCTACTAACACATAAACACTTACCATCCTCCTCAGGCAACTCCTCTGGACTAAGTTCTACCAATTCGAAGCCATGTCTGATGCACCATTCTTGAGCTTTCTGTCGGTTTACACCTAAAATAATATGCAAAAGAATCTTCATAAGTAAGAAGAAAACAAAACATGACTATTCCTGCAATATTCTTCATAAATCTCAATGTGTTTCCCTTAATGTCAATGTTATTCTAAAGGCATCTATTCTAAAGGCATCTAAAATAACAAAAAGAAAATGATTTCTCAACCCTGAAGTATCCATTCTTAAAAAAAAGTAAATATTACAAGATACCAAAGAAAAATAGCTGAAAATATTTTCATAAAGCAATAAAGTCACATGGGATGTATGTCCTAAGTTAAGGAAACAGATGTACTCTGTTTATCAAGGAATGGCAAATGCGTGTCCCATCCACATGCCTTACCATCTTCAGACACTCTATCACAGACCAAGATCATCACCTCAGGTAACCATGCTTCTGCCAGTGGAAGCCATGAGGAGACACTGTCGAGACCTGATTTCTAGAAGGAACAAAAAATATAAACAAACAAAACCAGAGGAGAGATAGTAAGATAAAATGTAACGGGAAAAAAAGAAGGCATGCAGTAATTTCTTATTCAAGCCTTCATAGAAAACAAAGTCTTACTTGTGTGCTGTCAAAGTAAACCACAAATGCTTGGACAGATTCTGCAATCTCTGCAGTCACAAGAAATTTGTTTGGCACCACACACAAATTGATGTCCGCTGAATAGTATTTATTATCAATGGTCCAGGGATAAAATCTCACAGCGTCATTGGAAGTCACTTCCACAATAAGATCTTCTGTTCCAAGGATATCTAAAAATAAATGACAACATTACCATGTAAAGTGCAAAACCAATATACATTGGTTGATTTTCTCAGTCAGATACCAGATAAAGCTGGTACTTTCGCTGTTTCCTTTTATGTGAGGATTTCAAAGGACCCTGCATTTATTAGCTTTAATCCTATCTTCTCTGATCATCTGATTACAAAAGTTATAGTGATATAATTTAAGTCATTGACTTTTTCTCTTTAAGAACACAAAAATCATTGTGAACTAGATTAGATAGTAGTAAAGGAAAAAACAGTCATACAACCAAATATCCAGAAAAGAGCAAGTAGAAGACAAAGAATGACAGTTGTATTTATCGTATTGCTTAAGTACTTCATAGGAGGTAGACTATAACAAGCTTCTGGAATCTGTAACTACTTTGTACTTATTGCAAACTAAAAGGAAGATAGGATTAAGGCTAACCCATTAATAAAATAGAAGAGCTACATATATTTCTTGGACTGAATGCTTAGACATTAATTCAGCTAATGAAATAAGAGAATGGATACTGATAAATGACCCGAATTCTATTTATATTCAGCCTTGTTCACATTCTTTGAAAGCCAACCCAAATTCTTGTTTGATCAAGACACTTCTGGTAAATTTTAAATGTGTAATAGCCAAACAAATTACTACAACTAAATTTAGATTCTAAAAGATTAGATTATAACTAAATCTTTCGGAAATGTACGTGCAGCATATATATAATAGGAAATCCCCATAGTAAGAGACAAGTCAGTGATGAACAAATGAATACAGACATGATCACGGAGCCATGGAAGCATTTTGCTTCCATTATGTTATACAGTACTTACAACTGGAAGAGAAATTACAAGTTGTTCTAACCTAAACTCCCATCTTTCACACCCATACCCACAACCTCCACTTTATACAAATGTGGAAAATGAGCTTATAGAAGTAAAATGACTTGCCATTAATTGACTTATCTGAAGAATATAAAGCAAAACAGTCACACACTCCTCATCAATGCATACTAAGATGAACACGTATTAATGAAATGTGCCTCAAACTCATAATTAGCAAGACACTGAAAACTAGAAATTAATTTTAAATCCCAGAGCTAACATCATATATTTGAAAAGATGCCATCATTTCTGCTCAATATAAAGTTATGGGGAAAGTATTTAGTCCAAAAGACTGCTAGGAATTATGTACAAAGTGTGGTGTAAGAGTGTATACACACATGTGTTCTTTTTATTAGCAAAGTTTCATCACGTGGTTAAGAGGAACTAATCTTCTCAAGAATGAAAGGTCAGCCCTTTTTTTAACAAAAAATTTAAATTTAAAATAAATTTAAGGTTTTATCCTTGATATAAAGCATATCATGAAACTAAAAAATTTTTTTCACCAGAACCAGAATTGTTACTCTTAAATTAGCAGAAGGTCTACGTCAATATTTGACAATCTGAGTGTATCCCATTTCTTTAAGAAATCAGCAGTTCTGTCTACTTAATTTCTACCTGAAGTCATTATCTTTTACTTAGTGTCAGTCAATTCCATCGCAACCAGCTGCTACGTCCCTTATGGAGCATTAAGACAATTTCAGGTGGGAAATAAACAGGTAAGTTATTAGAATCAAAGACATTGTTTTCATGTAAATGTCTCACAGAAAAACAAAAACTAGATCAAAGTCTACATTGCATTCAAATCTAACACTCCAAACTTCAAGAAGGTGGCATAGTAACATGTGGCTGTGTTTCTAAAAGCTGAATACTGGCACAGCTAACACACATGCCACAATACGCTGATAAATACGCACATAAAAGAAAGAAACTAAAACAACGAGAAAAGCAAAAAAAGTATAAACTAATTTTTTAATGGTGAAAAGAGCCAACATATAAAATCAGTCTTCATTCTTTTTTTTTTTTTTTTTTGAGACGGAGTCTCACTCTGTCACCCAGGCTGGAGTGCAGTGGCGTGATCTCGGCTCACTGCAACCTCCACCTCCCAGGTTCATGCCATTCTCCTGCCTCAGCCTCCCGAGTAGCTGGGACTACAGACACCCGCCACCACGCCTGGCTAGTTTTTGGTATTTTTAGTACAGACTTAGTAACACAGGTTTCACCGTGTTAGCCAGGATGGTCTCGATCTCCTGACCTCGTAATCCGCCCGCCTTGGCCTCCCAAAGTGCTAGAATTACAGGCGTGAGCCACTGTGCCTGGCCATCCATGGGTAATTTTTAAAAATAGCAAACTGCGTATTTTTTAAAGGAGGGAAGCACAAATAATAAAATACAGTAATGAATTCACTTGTTGCTAAGGGGTAAAGTACAAAGGCAGAGGGGGACTAATATTCCTGTCATTGCTACAATCAGTTCTTAATATTTCCTAAATCGGTTGTATTGTTAAAAACTGGAATAAAAAAATTGGGGTTATGCTTTCTTTGCTCCTCAACATGAGAAATCTAAAATCAATTAAAATGGCATTACTAACTGCAATTTAAAATTACTAACAGCAATTTAAAATATTTAGATCCATTAATGATGGCTCATTTTATTAATGTTTAGAACACAAAAGAACAAAACAATGTTTGTTACTCAGACCACTTACAATTTCAGTTTTATACTTGCATTTGCAAATGATTAAGATATTTACTTAACACGGGGAAAGAAGCTGTTTCTTTCTTTTTTCTCCAAACCTAGATAGGAATGGAACCAATAAGTTGGGAAAATGAATTTCACATTTCAGTGTTTCAGTAGCTAGTGGGCTTTGGCTTTTGTTTTATTCTCTGTGCTGCCTAAACAAGTTGATAGCTCAATTTACTTATCAGATTTTTTTTTAACATTTTATGTCTAATCAGACACTTCCTTCAAGACTGCATATGGACTTCATTATCACATCTGTGCCATATTAGAGCTAGGGAGAGAATAGTAAAGACTGTCTCATTCTAATTCTTATGATCAATATCATAACGTAGAGTTTAATTTAAAAAATGTAAATGTCTACACTAAATATAGCTTTCTTCCCTCATGTTTTCTATTTGATTTTCAAATGCTTAACAAGTTTATTCTTTTCCAAATTAAAATGAAATTATTCAAATTATGCACATGGCTAAAGGTTTCTGGAGATCAGCTAATATAATTCACTCATTTTACAGATGAGAAAGCTGAGGCCCAGGAAAAAAGAAGCCACTTGCCTAATAGGAGCAGAGCCTAAAACTGGATTCGATTCACCAACATTCTTTCTTACTACACCGTGATGTTACAATACTTAGCATCTGAGCTGGATCACACTTGAGTCTCTAATAGTGACAAGCCAAAACTAGTCTATGGACCTAAAGTATCCTCTGCCCTTTTAGGAACACCAAAAATAATAGCCAGAATATGGGCACAATTATATACGGATGTGCAGTACAATTAACCCATCAGAAAACTGTCTATGACATTCAGGTATTTATATGTCAACAATGAGTCACAGTGATCTTGAGGTTTTTTTGTTGTTTTTTTGTGTGTGTATTTTTTGCAAGACTTCCTAGAAAAACCTGCAGTGGGCTCCCTTCTTTGTCCTTCACTAAATTATTATGTTGTAGACTCCGATATGCACAAAGAAAATCAAGAGCAGCTTTCCCCTCCTCCTGGTGGATGCCAGCCTGTCTCATTCACACTGTTGGCAGCCACCTGGTGGAGCTGTTATACATCACTTTTTAAGAGACAAACACTAGGTGTTTACTTGCCAGGTCTGTTACTACAAACTCCATTTCACAGCTTACAACAGTTAATTTGTAGTGCTTTTACAAAGGAAGTTAGATGCCAACTCAGTTCTAGTAGCAAACATAAACCTTTCCTTCAGTGTTAAGTGCAAGTATAAACCTCTATCCCTATTTGAGAAACTTTTTACAAAGCCATCAATTCTCCAGTAACTCCCATTTACTTTCTCACATCCTTGGTCAACTTCTTTTCCCTATGATCTCATGTGGTAAGTTACAGAAAATAAAGATTCAAGAGCTTTGAAGGAAGCCATGTTCCAAGGCAACATTTCAGTTCAGTAACCCAACATCTTCCTCTTTTTATTCAGCTTTCTACTCTTCCCTGTATATCCTAATAATGATCCTTCCCTCAGAGAAACTACAAATGTGGTAACCAATCAAATGAAAGAAAAGAGGCAGCTAGCTTTCTATGGTTAAGAATCAATAAGAGGTGATACTCTTTTTAGCATGAATTAGAAGGCAATATGAAGTTCAAGGTGAATTCCCAAACACCACAAATATCTGTTCTCCTACACACACACATTTTATCTATATACAAACTTGCACATACACAACCCTTACCTTATGCCCTCACCTATCCACCTCAGCCAAAAAAGACAAATGCATTCTAAACTAGACACGTTGATACTGTTATGGATTTTTTATGTCTCCTTTAGTAGTAGGGTAATTAAGTACACTTTTAATATCAGTAGTATTAATGTGCACTTAACCAATCATGACATTCTTTGTGAAGCAAAGCTGTCCAGTGGTTAAATCATATTTTCTATGCCCTGAGGGAAGTGACAGCTGCCACCTCAAATCAAGATGATCCCTCCGGAAACCAGCACTCTTGTCAGACTGCAAAGTTGGTTTTATTCTTTCTCATAAACTGAAACTGCCTTGACAGCCAGGCATCATAACCTCTCACCCCAGATATGAGTGTCTTTCATGGAATCCACTCTTCTGGAGACCCAACATTCTTCTTTCTTCCCTTTGTGAAGGCAGTACTAACAAGAAGGGAGAAGAGCATGGAAAGCAGAGACAGCACAGACCTGGGGTCCCACAGGCCTGCATTTGCATGGGCTGGCTCTCTGCAAAGCCTTGGGCAGATTAACCCCTCTGTGTCTCATTTCCTTACCTGCAAACAGGGATGAGAACACTTCTCAAAAAGCTTCAATGAATTAAATGAAACTATGTCAAAGAAAGTACAGACACTGGGCACAGAGTAGGCCCTTAGTAAGCACAGAGTAGGCCCTTAGTAAATATTCATTTCCTTCTT